TATTGGGTAATTAAATATTTAGGCAAGATCAGGTCACTCTCATGAGACCTCACCATAGGGTTCCGCAATACTACCGTCAAGATCAAGCCACTCTCATGATATCTATATGTTAGAAAACTCAAATTCAAATTATCTTCTTTTTTAGTATAATCTAGTAATTCTTAGTGGTTCACAAAATTTAAAATTAAAAAAATCCTCCATGAAGCTCACCACGTTAGATAACTCTCATCTCTCATTTGCGGACAAGTACTTAATGAGTCGTTGCCGGGTCTTTCAAAGCTGTGGGACTCTAATTATAGTAAATCTGTTTTTCATTGTTTTGACTTATGAAATTGGAGCTGCGAATATGATATTTTAAAATAATTAATATAGAAGTAATAAAGAAAGAGATTGAATACAATGAGACCATTTACACAATTACTTACAACTATCCCGTGTGCAATTTGAAAGCTTGGATCTTTCACAAAGTTTGAGATTTTTTTTTTTTTTGAACTTTTGAGTTTGGTCAATGAAATAAGTGCAGCCACTGAATTTCACATTCAACGGTCAAGATTAATTATGACCACCTTGTAGAAAAGGTAAATGGTCTCTTTATATGCTATCCCATTAAAAAAATAATAGAGTAGGCATTTTTAAAGTGGAGTTTAAAAAACACCGATTTAGATTGGAATCACTTAATCCGAATTGAGAATAGGTGAAATTGGTTTGCTTCCCACCACATATTAGGAATTGGCCAGTAATATTTGGGAACCGCTGATCCGACCCCATCTTTTATTTTTATTATTTTCCAATTTTTTATTTGGATCTTTGTTTTCTTATTGGATGATTCACTCGATTGGATCGTTAATTTGGACTGTTGATCAGCCGACCCCTACTGGTTTTCCAGATGGGCAATTTTGGTTTTTTCAACACTGGTCAAAACATTGTTTTTCAATTTGTAAAAAATTACAGATAATTTCTTTTTTTTTTACAAAATTTGAAAACAACTTACATTCCATATTTTACATTTAAATATCAATCTTTATGAGGATATAATGTATTTTCATCTTATTCTTTTATACATTGAGTAAAACACAAATTTGGGTTTCGGGTGTGCATATTTTTCACCGTCAGACACCCGTAAAAATTACAAATTTGAAAGAAATAAAATTATCAACTGAAAATTATGCTGCTATCCATTTTACTTAATATTATTTAAAATTCACTCACAATTTATTGTTATTACATATACACTCGATTTATTTTGTGATTCCAAAATTGCCCATATTTCAGGTCTCGACGATCCAAAATCAATAAAAATAATTGAATTCCGAAATTCCCTGCAAAATTTTTCAGATTTTAATAATTGAATTTAACAAAAATAGAAGATCTTTTATGAAAATACAAAAATTTAATATTAAAGTAAATTTCAGATTTTTTAAATCCGAAAATGTAATTTTCAGATTTTAAAACTCCAAAAAATTCAACAAATAAAATAAAATAATGCATATATGAGTTTGTAGAATGCTCGGTCTAAGAACGTCTTGGTTAGAAAATTTCTTTTTTTTTTTGGGTGACTTTAATGATATTTTATTGAGAAAATGAAAATGAGTTCAGAAGAATTTGAGTAGAAGAGTTTGTATTCTCTACAAAATAAAATGAACATGATGGGGAATTTGACGACCATCTCTTATGTAAGGTGGATGGGGAATTTGGCGATCATCTTTTCCATCATTGTCTTTTTACGCTTCGCCTCTGGAGTTAGTTCTTT